TGGCTGAATCTTAAGCAGGACACAAAAAATATATACCATTAAGACAAAACTTAATGAGTCAGACTAGATTAAATTAAAATTAAAATCAAATTTCATGTTGATTTAAAGAAAGTAGGTGAGTAAAAAGAAGATATCAAGTTATGTAATATATAACACAGATACTCACCTTTAAAATATACAAATAATTTTCCACAATTAATAAGAAAGATTAATGAGGCAGACAATGAACACTGTATACCTGATAAATAAATAATTTTTAAAAGAGTAATTATACTTTTGAGTAAAGATCCAGTAGCACATCTATGCATGTGTTCATCAAAACATATTTATTAAAAGGATGTTCAGGGGGCTGGAGAGATGGCTCAAAGAGTAAGATCTCTTGAGTTCAAAACCCCACCACCCACATCCAAAACTGGGAGTGGCCATATGCTCTTGTAATCCCAGCATTCAGGGGACGGGAGGACAGCAGGGAGGGGAGCTCACAGGTTTGCTAGCTGCCACCTATGGAAAAAACAGGCAGAGTCTCTGTCTCAATGGACCAAGGCAGTAGTGATGGAGCAAGAGACCTGACATCTTCCTCATGTCTCCACATGTGACAAAGCACATGTCCCCACCATGAGCAAACACACACATGTACACATGTACACACACAGAGAGAGACCTGACATCCTCCTCTGGTCTCCACATGTAACAGAGCACATGTCCCCACCATGAGCAAACACACGCATGCACACACGCACACACACAGAGAGACCTGACATCCTCCTCTGGTCTCCACATGTGTCAGAGCATATGGCCCCACCATGAATACACACACACACACACGTTTTTAAGTTGATATTTCAGTTGAAATCATACTCATGTAGCCATGTATATGAGGAGATCATAGTGTTTGCATATGGAGCCATCCCCAATGCAGAAATGACAGAATGAGCTTTGAAGAGATGACATAACTTGCTCAAGGCCATGTGTTCAGGGTTTGAACCCAGCACTGTGCTGTTCTCCACCTGACTTCAGAGCCCTTCTCTCTGACCATACTAAAGAATTTCTCCTGCTTCTGTCACCCACTGCCATCTGAAGACAAATTATACTATGCATGGTTGTGTCTCCTTAGCTCCTAGTCAGGTTCTGGGACTAAGAAAACCCTCAACGCTTAAATGACTGCTTATTCCAGCCACGGGGTGAGTGGGTGAATAACAAAGGACAAATGCATCCATCAGCATTCCCTGGATACAAATAGCTCGTGAAAGACAGCATTAAAGAAATGTTGTTCTATGACATTTAAGAACCTAAGTCTTACTGCCTGGCTACTTGATGTCCTCTGGGCCTCCGTGCATCCTCCCCAACCACGACCTCTGTGGGATAGCAGCCATACTGCCAGAAGACCAGGAGTCCTAGGTACCAGAGAACTTGGCTGCATGCCGACTGATTGCCCTGTGCCCCCTTCCATCTAATGACATTCTTGTTTACTTTAATTCTACTGAGTGTGTTTGCACCAGTGTAGAGTGTGCATGCGTGCGTGTGCATGTGGGTAGGGAGGTCAGAGGTCAATGTCAGTGTCTTCTTCAACTCGCCTCCACCTTCTTTTTGTTTTTAATTTAATTCAGCTTTTCTTCATTTTATGTGTATGAGTGTTTGGATTGCTAATCTATATGTACACCACATGCAGGCCTGATACCCACAGAAGTCAGAAAAATGTGTTGGATCCTTTTGGAACTCAGTTACAGACAGTTGTGAGCCTGCGTGTGGGTGTTGGGAACCGAACCTGTGCCCTCTCCATGGGGTATGCTATCACCACTGAACTATCCACCTTAGTTTTGAGACAGAATCTCTCAGTGAACCTGGAGCTCACTCAGACTGGCTAGCCATCCAGCAACCCCAGGAATCCTCCTGTCTCCACCTTCCTAGTGCTGGGACTACCACATCTGTTTTTGACATAGGCTTTGGGAATCTGATCTCGAGGATTTAAATGTCTGCTCATCACTGACTGGGCACTCTCCCCTACCCTCTTCTCGGTCACTTCTCCTGGACTCTCCTCTTCTGCACCAGGTCCTACTGATCTTTGGCTGAGAACTTGGGGAGGTGACTGATCAATCTGACATTCCTTTCTTGGGCTGGAATTTGAACAAAGAGCAAATAAGCAGGCATTGGCTGTGGTACTCTGGCAAGCACTGACAAGCTGAGCCCCCTCCTGGGTTCCTGACAAGATTCCCAGCCTCATCCTGTAGCTTCCTGTAATGTTTTAAGCTCCTGGTAGCCAGCCATGAAACGTACTCATTCATCCACTCATCCATCCATTCATCCTCTCTCTCCATTTCTGTCTTTCTTAGGGTTCTTATTGCTGTAAAGAGACAGCATGACCACAGCAGTCTTATAAGGGAAAACATTTCATTGGAGCTGGCTTACAGGGTCAGAGGTTTAGTCCATTATTGGTGGCGGGAAGCATGTTGGCACACAGGCAGACATGGTGCTGTAGAGGTAGCTGAGAGATCAGCATCTGGATCTGAAGGCAGCAGGAACATAGAAAGGGAGACTCTAGGGCTGGTTTGAGCATTTGAAACCTCAAAGTCCATCCCCAGTGACATACTTCCTCCAAAAAGGCCACACCATGTAACAAGGCCCCACCTCCTAATTCTTCCAAGTAATGCCACTCCCTGTGAGTCTCCGTGAGCCACTTTCATCCAGACCACTACAGTGTCCTTCTCTCTTTTCTTCCCTCCCTCCCTCCTCTCCTTACACTGCCCATGCTGGCCTCAAATTCCTGGACTCAAGGAAACCTCTTCCCTCCACATCTGAGCAGCTACACCACCGTGCCTGTCTTATAAACTGTTTTGCTCAAGTTCGTTTGAGTAGCAATCCAAAGACTCCTGGTTAATGCAAGATCTAGTATTATAAGTAGGGTGTTACGAGGCTAAGGGCTGGCATTTGAGCAGAAGGATGAGGAGAAGGGGATTTGGCCATTCTCTGTTACATTGCAATGCACAAATGAATCATTGTCTATTAAGCCTTTCCTGGGTTCCTGGGGCTGTGACATCGAAGGATATGGTAAGAAAAGGGTTGTATTTTAGAGTGTGCTAAAGAACGAGAAGGGTAAGAAAGAAGAAGAGTAAGAAACAGGTGGCCTTGAAAGCATAAGAGGAAGACACATGATATCTGAGAGCTGCCTGTTTGCCAATGGCCAGTTATTGTCTGGGAGTGGAAGAAAAGATGTGTTCTCTCCTTTAGGTTAAAATGAGCAGAAGGAGCCCGGTGGTGGTAGTGCATGCCTTTAATCCCAGCACTCGGGAGGCAGAGGCAGGCGGTTCTCTGTGAGTTCAAGGCCAGCCTGGTCTACAGAGTGAGTTCCAGGACAGGCTCCAAAGCAACAGAGAAACCCTGTCTTGAAAACAAAACAAAACAAAACAGAAACAAAAACAAAAACAAACAAGCAGAAGGAATTGGAAACAAGAGGCCCTGATATGTAATCTCTGTTTCCTGATTTTGTTTTTTTATTATTGCTTTATAACTAGTTTTCCCAAACTGCCGATGCCTCCAGTTTCCTATCTCACCGGGTTGTCAGGAGGCTTGAGAGAAGGAAAGTCAACATCAAGTGATCGACAATGCCACCCTCAATATTTTTGTGATTATTGTGAAAAATGGGTGAGTTTGTGAGCTACTCACCACCCCAAGCCTATTGTTTTGCATATTTTTGACTCCAGGCCAAGACAGGAACATTATGCTCAAGGCACAAGGGGATACCAGGGCACCTGGTCCAGCCTTAGCAGGACGGCAGGAGGTTCTTCTTTCAAAGCTGGACTCTGATAAGATCTCTGACTATTTACAGTGTTGGCCAGAAGCCCCAAAAGCCAGCATCTCCTGAATGTTTTAAGAGTGTCATTTGGCCAAAGAAACCTCAAGCCTGGGGCATGATGATCTGGGATAATGATTTCAGACCCCAAACTCACAGGCACAGGAAGAGACTTAGCAGAATTGTCTCCTATTCAGAGGGCACTTCCTCCCAGGTGTGCACCTTGTGTGATCCCATAGGAGATAAACAGTCCACAGGAGAGATTTTCCTAGAGAGAAAAGCTGGGACCACAGGGAAAGGGAGCCTTTTACAGGGGAGACACAGGGGAAGCCATGTCCTCACGTCCAGAATATGACATCTGTGTGGCATCTGGAAGATCACAGTAGGCAACAAACCAGTGACCGCAGGGAATGGTTCCATTTCCCAAATGAGATCAGGGTTTGGGGGCATCTGTGTGTTGTACGGGTTGCATCTATGGCACACATGTGGAGGTGTTCAAGGGTGTGCGTATGTGCTCCATACATGTAGAGGCCGAAGATGACATTGGGTGTCATCCTTGATCACTCTCCATATTATTTTCTGAGTCAGATCCTCTCACTTGATCACAGAGTCTCTGATTGGACTAGTCTAGCTGGCCAGCTGGCTCTGAACCCCATCTTAGCCTCCTGAATGCTGGGAGTATAGGTGGGCCACTGCTCCAGACTGGTGTTTACACGGGTGCCAGTAAATGGACTCAGGTCCTCATGCTTTATCTACTAAGCCAGCTCCCGGCACCCTTGAGAGTTTTCACTGACAGCTTCCTGTGTCTCCTCCACCACTGTTAGCTGAGTGCATTGCTGGTGACCAGACTCAACCATTTAGCCTCCCAGGACCACAAAAAGGTCCACTTCTGGGAACTGCAGGTCACCCAGACTGTGACCATCAGATGAATTAGACCATATTTCTGGGGAAAGAGGTTGACTACAGAAAGTGGACATTTTTGAAGGTTATCTAGTAGGGATCTGGACCAGCATAAGGAGGTATTGCAAGACCATGAACATTCCAGGTACTTTTAGTTTCTTTGTTTTGTTTTTCGAGACAGGGTTTCTCTGTAGCTTTGGAGCCTGTCTTGGAACTCATTCTGTAGAGCAGGCTGGCCTCGAACTCACAGAGATCCGCCTGCCTCTGCCTCCCGAGTGCTGGGATTAAAGGTGTGCACCACCACCTCTCGGCTTTTAAGTACTTTATTTTTAATCTTTTAACAATATCTCTTCATAAAACCTTCTATGTATCAAAAGCTTTATAAGACACGCGCATAGACAGACGTCTTTTGATCTCGTTGTTTCTCTAAGACAGGTAGGATTGACACAGCCATCTTCATTATATACATGAGATTCAGCTTGGAGAATGTCTGTTTTGTCCTAAACACTAAATCAGTAATCACTCAAGAAGAACCTAATCCGGGTCTCTTGGGGTTTTGGTTGTTTTGTTTTTCCTGACAGGGTTTCTCTGAGTTCAAGGCCAGATATAATGAGTTTCAGGATGGCTAGCCTCGAACTCAGAGACCCGCCTGCCTCAGCCTCCTGAGTGCTAGGATTAAAGGCACGTGCCACCATGCCCTGCAAGCCCAGGTCTCCAATGCCAAGCAAGTGTTGCAGGAAAGAGGGGCGCAGAGCCACCCCTCACACAATGGAGCTTCTGCTCTCTCTTCTGCAAGTAGAATGAGATCGGTGGGGACTAAGCCACCTGATGTCCGCACAGCTTCAGAATCTCTCTACACAGTGCTTGAGCAAATCCTGTGCCCTGGTGCAGCTGGGGAGGGGAAGTGACCGTCTGAGATAGCTGCGGGGCAGCCATGCAGAGATCGTTGTCCTTGCGGTTTCATTGATTTCTGTAGAAAGGGAGTCTGTGATCTTAGTTGGAAATATTTACGCTCCAAGGAGAGAAGCTTGGGAGTCTGGTAGTCTCATTAGGCCACTCCTCCCAGCGACCTCCTTCATTCAGCGAGTCCTCCCCTGTGGCTCCAGCCTCCTCCATCAGTCTTCCCTTGCACAGAGCAGGCTGCGTGAGGCCCTGTGTTTATGAGAGCCACCTCCAAAGCCGGAATGGAGGAGTAAATGACAAGTGATGGCACCTACAAGAGGGGCAGCCTCCCTAACCAGGGAGACACTTCAAAGCGTGCCCCACCGCAGTCTCGGCAAGAGGCTTCCTGGGCCTCTCCTGTCTTCTCAGACACCTGTCCACATGGTCTCCCACGTTTGCAGAGCCCAGTTCATTTGTCTGCGTGAGTCTTTCACAGTCAGCCGGGCCTCTGCAGAAGGGGAAACGGAGGCTCCGTGATGCCCAGATTATGAGTTTAGGAGAGAGGGAGCTGAACCCACATTCCAACATGCCTATCTGGGATTCTACTTGCCAAAGCCACCCTCCCCGAAGGTGAAGACTGTGCCTTATCTGTCTCTGCCTACAAATTAAAGCCAATAGCTAAGGCTCTATACATATTTCTGTGGCAATAGCTGACTTGCTTTGCTGTCTGGGTCCTTAGGCCAAACTTGATTCAAGTCCAAAATTTGAATTTGCAATTCCTTCAGGCCTCCAAGAACAAAGAACATTAGATTCTCACAGACGTTGGATAATGTCCAATCTGATTCCCCAGTACCCAAATAAAAATTCTTTATATTAGTAAAATTGTTTGGCAGTTCTCGAAGTCCTTCTATTTGATCCAGCTAGTCATCCCTAACACCACTAACTTAGTGCAGAGACGAGGAAACGCCACAGAGAGAGGGTGTAATTTGTCCAAAGTCACACAGACAGTCCAGGGCTCTCTCTGCACCTGCAGCGATGGCAGATTCCGATCCCTTTCCTCGGGGCCAAAGGGCGCTGCTGGAGAAGGAAGAAAATGACCTGAAGGAAGCAATGGAGCAGGAAGATGATGGTTGTCCCCAGTTGCTCCCATTCCTTGAGACCCTCCCCCATGCCAGGTCCCGCACTGCACCTCTAGGGACGGGGTCCCCAAAGGTGACAACCTCAAAAGTGTGTGTGACATGATGGAGAATGAGTTGTGATGCAGAGAGAGAAACTCTCAGTGGAAACCACATTGTGATCAGCTATGCTAATTCAAATGGAATACTCTTTCTAGTCCAATAATGGGAAATAGTACAAACCGTTGTCATTTTGGGCCGTGCTGAGAAATCATGCAGCGGGAATTGGACATGGTGGCGGGGTGGTGTGCTCCTGAGATCCCAGCACTGGGGAGATGCAAGCAGCTGGATAAGGAGTCTAAGGTCAGCTCAGCTACACAGACAGTGATGCCAGCCTGGCTTGTGTAAGGCTCTGCCGCACAAAGACAAAAAAAGCTATCAAAGTTTACATAAGAATGTGTTTCAAAGGTATGTACACTTGGTTAATATTTGTTTTATTTTATTTTATTGTTTGGTTTTTTGAGACAGGGTTTCTCTGTATCTTTGGTGACTGTCCTGGAACTAGCTCTTGTAGACCAGGGTGGACCCAGACTCACAGAGATTCACCTGCCTCTGTCTCCCGAGTGCTGGGATTAAAGGCGTGCATACACCACCACTGCCCAACTTGGTTAATATTTTAAATCACAATTTCTCTGAATTTTGTGATGTTTGCAGTATTTGTTGACGTTAAAAACATACTATTTTTCTTTTTGAGACAAATTGTCAGTATGTAGCTTAGGTTAGCCTCAAATTCACAAATTCCCTGTTTCAGCAAAAGCGTGGGTCTTTCCCCCATCTGGCCAGCTTCCTGTGTTGATCCAGAACAGTCAGGCAAGGGGTGTGTGTGTACATGTGATCACACATGATATATGTGTGTAGCTTAGAGAACAACTGTTCACTAATCAGTTCTTTCCTTCCTCCTGGTGTTGAGGTAGGTTCTCTCTTGTCGTTTGTGCTGACGAGCTCTGTACTCCGTGACTCTCAAGCTTCCAGGCCATTCTCCAGTTCACAACTCCTTTCCTCCCTCAGGAGTGCTGGGAGGACAGGCGTACTCCACTGGGTCTAGCTTCTCACCTGGTTTCCTTGGGTAGAACTCAAGCCACCAGGCTCGCATAGCAAGCGAGCTTGCTCTTACCCTTTGCCTTTTCCTCTTCTGCTCAGCCTCACGGGTTATGCAGCCAAGACTGTTCATTTCACCTGTGGAGAACAGATCCTAACAGTATGGAAGTTGTTTTTTAAAACCTGTGAGTCTGAATGGAGTGGTTCCCAGGAAAGGAAGGGTAGTACTTTCTTCTCTGCTATGTCTGAGAGATGCTCAGGGTTGTAGTGAGACGTCACGGCTCCATCCCAGGCAGTAGAGAAGCTGGTTGCCCAGGCTTGGCCTGTGGAAACAACCCACAGCCTTAGGAACCCAACCTCAGACCTCACACTGCCTACATGGCTGAGGCTCCCATATGAAGCAGATCAGCCTGGCCTGCACGCTCTGCGACCAGAAACTTCTCGTGCAGGGACCCGCTGGGGAGGTCTGAGGACATCACAAATATGCAAGAGCCTAAAGTCCTGAGGGAAGTAGGTGCATAGGTTTAGATGGCACTGTGAGTGTGCAGAGAGGAGCCTCAATATGAAGGGTTGTGTGTTTCCACATAGACCAATCTCAGGGCCCCTGCCCAGGCATACAGATTCCGGGAAGCTGCTGGGGTTTGTTGTGTGAAAGGCGTGGCGGGCCCTGAACACAGTCCTGTTTGAGATGGTCCCCTTCTTACCTGCCTCCCACTTCTTCACCAAGGACTAAAGCATTCCCTACAGGGAAACCCTGCATTTGGACTTCTCTGGGCCAGGCCTGCCAAATCTGGAAGACGGGAAAGCGTGGGAAAGACTGACGCCATTTGTCTTTCCACTCTAGACAGCGCTGCTCTTCTGCTGTCCCCTGAGTGGACGCCCTTCTCCATCAGTGCCCCTCTCCCAGCACCGCTGGGACTGGCAGGTCCACTTAATTGACAGACAGGACAGCTGAAGCAACTTAGTTTGCCCAATCTTGCCAGGAAGTGGGGTTTTCCATGCTCGGACAGGGACGACGCTGGTTTACCCTAATGGTATTTAGATCAGCTCGGACAGGGACGACGCTGGTTTACCCTAATGGTATTTAGATCACTGTGAAGCAAGGTAAGTGCAGACTGATATTTTCAAATAAAAAGCTAATGAAAAAATCTAAATATCACCACTCACCTCCAGGAAACCCCATGTTAAACAACAAATACAGCTCTGCATGGAACTCAACTCAGGGAGCATGGAAAAGGCCTACGTCTTCACCTTTGCCTCCCTGCCTGCAGGCTCAGCTCTTTGTCAACAGGCTTGTAAATGACAAGTCACCCAAGGACTTGGTTTTCTAGAAAGCTGAGCAAGTAGCAAGTGCGTTGTTGTGTATATAAACATGCCTGGTAGGGAGAATGAAGGATGCTTAATTTTAAATGTTAGCAAGGCTTCCCTGGGGAGACCTGGCTTCCCTTGCCGGATACGAATATCACACCAAATTGATCGTGCAAAGTTGAGAAAATGTTTTGTTTCAAGGGATTAGAAGAGACAGCTCTGTAGGTAAAGGGCTAACCCTGGCTTAGTTTGTTTCCTGTCCCTACCATAGAATTCCCTGATGAAAGCAACTTTAGGGGAAGAGAGTTTATTCTGCCTCCGGGTCCAAGGAAGCTGAGGCTGCTGGGACCCGGAACAGCTGGTGGGGTTGAATGCACGAATCCACAGTGGGAAAGCAGACAGTAAGGATGCTCATCTAGGGCCCTGTTTGCTTTCCCTGTTTCATGCAATCCAGGATACCCTGCCCAGGAAACGGGTCTTTCCACATCTATTAAACATAGAGATAAGCCCTCACCCACAGGCACGCCCAGAGGCCACCTCCCCAGTTAGTTCCCACACACTCAAGTTGGCAATTAACGTAAAGCTAACCATCACATCTCACAAGGGTGAGCTCTTGGGCTCAATCCCCAAAAAACACTCTCATCAAAAAGTAAATAATAAATAAATAAATAAAATAAAAAAGTCTTGTGATCTCAGCCTTGGGGAAGTGGAGCCCTGTGGGCTCCCTAGGAGCTCACTGGCCAACCAGCCTACCCTAATCAGTGAGCCCCAGCTCCCAGTGGACAGCTCCTGAGGTATGATACCTGAGATTGGTTTCTGGACTCTATACCCACCCACAAATATACACCAACACACACACTTTTTTTTTCTAAAGCATGAGGACCATTGAGATGGGTAAGCAGATAAAGGTGTTTGCCACCAAGTCTGAGGACCTGAGTTCGATTCCTGGAAACCACATGGAGGAGAGAACCGATGCCCATAAGTTGTCCTCTAACCTCTCTCTCTCTCTCTCTCTCTCTCTCTCTCTCTCTCTCTCTCTCACACACACACACACACACACACACACACAAAAGACCTTGGCTTAATTTCTATCAGGTCCCTGTTGTGCTGGAGTGGGAACCCCATCTTTCTAACTCTAAGTCATTGATGGGTCAGGGTGGGGTCAGCGACACAGACTGCTAGTAAAACCAGGAAGTGCTCCACACATGTCCATCTTAGTGAGAAGTTAGCACGATTTTTATCCCCATTTTACAGATGAGGCAAAGAGATAGTAGAGGGTTGCAGAGATAGGAAGGGGCACAGTGAAGTCTAAAATCAAAGACCCAAGGACAGAGCTGTCACCAAATATCAGTCACCTAATGTTGACTGATTGCTGTGTCCTGACCTAGGTGGACAGGACGGAGCAGTGAAGAAAGCAGAAGGAGGTCCCAAAAGAGCTTTGGTTTGACTGATTCCAGCCACTTCTGCTTACGGCAACCATGAGATGCGCCCTCCATTTCATGGTTGCAGGCACCATGTCCCCCAGATTTTGTTTTCTCCTGTTGCCGTCCTAAGGTCTAGTAACTGCCCATTTGTTCCAGGAGACTCCCAGAAAGATGTGTGTTCATCTCACTGGCTGCTGTGTTATGCTCCAGGGAAACTTCTGGGCTGAGGCCTCTCTCCCACCCCCTCCCGCCTGCTCTGAGACCCACAGCGGCATGCTGTCACCCCGCAGGCTCCGGGAGAACCAACTCTGTGCTACTGCAGGCACAATGCTCAAGCCGTGACTGCTTGGGGGCCTGGCTCGTAGAGCCCACTGGACACCTGGCTCATATGAGATCCATCCCTTAGAAAGCCAGAGGTCTCCTGGGAAATCATCCCCTCTAGCCTTCCTTTACGGAGAAGGCTCATGAGCCCAGAAAACGGAGATAAAGCACTGTAGGTCGCCGGATTCGTAGCAAAAGGAGGACTTAAAATCAGAGAGAAGGGGATGTCTAGTCATTTTGTGCAGCTGTTCTTGAGCCCATCCCTTCCTCGTACTCTTGAGACACCGTCAGACTTCAGGGTCCACTCTCTGTCGTATGAAAAGAGTGGAGGCTCTGCTGCCCAATAGCCCAGAGCCAGTCTCGCTGCTCGGCATCGGCATCGTACCTCCCTGGGTAAACACAGCCTTACTTTCTTCATTCATGAATAAAGTCTGCAGGAATTTTGTGGGGCATTCAGTGAACTGAAGGGTTCATGCTTTTAGCACACTTGCTTCCCTTCCTTACATCTCAGGATCACATAAAAAAGACAGGATCCTTGCCCTCAAGATTATAATCAAAGCTATGAGTGAATCTGCACGAGATGAAGGGTGAAATCGATAAGCTAGCTAAAGGGTGAGTCAAGGAAAGTAGGAAAGGTAATCGGAGCACTTTCGTCAAAGAGGAAATGCACGCTTAGAAGCTGAGAAAGAACGGTGAATTGCCAGGATGTATTAGGAAAGTTTTCCAGAGAGGTCTTCCCCAAGTCCCTTCGTAAGGCAGCCTCCATCTTTACACTGGGCTTCACAGCATAAAGCCTGATACGCTTGTCCAGCAGTAAAAAGTAAGCCCTCCCCGGAAGCAAAACGAATGGAACGAGGAACCCTGTCTAACATAGCGAGAGACACATTGGACAGGCTAAGGTTCTTGTTTTCCGGAGGCAGAAGGGAGCCTGTCCTGCAGAGCTGGGGAGGGACTGCCTGGTCTGGAAGGTCCACATTCCTGACCATTGGCTGACTCCTTTCATTTTCATTCCAACTGGTAAGCCCAACCAGACAAACCCCACCCACTCTAGACTTTGGGTGCCTAGAAGTTGGCCCTTGACAAGGGGATCATCAGAAGTCACCAGGAGCTCTCAGGTGCATCCAGTTGTGTTGTGTATTGGTCCAGCAAAATGTTAGAGAGATATGTGGCTCAGAGCTTTCGGTGGGGGGGGGGGGTGCATGATTAAATCACCAAGTCTCTTATTTGTGTTGGATAGTGAGATAAACTATGGGAGCCTTCACCCATAAAACTGTCTGCAGTATTGAAAACACGCTTCATAAAAAACTCCCTGGTGACCAGGAATGCACCCCTCTAAGATGGGAGTTGGCTGAAAATGCTTTCACGACAAAGTAAAACAAAAAACATAAATTATTAGTGCTTGTCCCGTTGCACGGGTGGGCGGTAGGGGGCGCCGTTGATACAAAGTATATCAGTAACCCGTTGACTCCATTACAGGCACGGCAGACTGTTTTCATCGTGCAAGTCCCTATTCTGAGTAATTAGTAGTTATGCCAGGAGAAGAATGTGGCTCTCTCAGTTTGAAGGGTGATCTTTTCCTGGTTGGCATCCTATTGGCCAGGACAGGCTCCCTTTCTACAAAATTGTTTCACTCTTATTTTGAACTTTGCCACACAAGATTGGCCTCGCTCCTGAAGAAGTTATTGGATGTTATCTGTCTCAAGGACAAACATTTGGTGTCCTAAGAATCCTTATGCTGGAATGTGGACCAATCAGGAATGAGGGAACCCAAGTCCCACTCACTAGCTTGGAAGCAATCTAGACAAAGTAGGGTCAAATCCTCCCCTTCCAAATGACCTCAGGAAACACTGAAAAAATTACCTTTATTTCACCTATAATCCCAGGGAAGAAGGCTACCCCTAGAAATGTACCTAAGTGCTTCCCACGAATAGGCTAGTTTTCGGGAGAGTATAGAGGTTGATCCTCAGCATTCATGAACCAGACAGAGTAATGCTTGCCTATAATCTCAGCACTCAGGAGGTGGAGGCAGGGGTTATCAAAAGTTAAGGGTTAGCCTTAGCAACAAAGTGAGGTCAAGCCAACCGGGCATACACTAGATCATGTGGATGTTTGTTTATTTGTTTGTTCTTTTGTTTTTCATTCTAAAGACTAAAGGATAGCTACTCAGGCACCAGGCACTGGGCAGTAGAATTGTGTATATCCAGATGTTCGGTCCTTACAGCCTGAGGGATGAACAAGGATGCCTTTCTTACTCCAACCCTTCACTTTCTCTCAATCACCAGCCTCCAATGCTAGTCCAGCTTCACCAGATTCTGCTTGGGTTACTTTGGGATGCCCAGGTCATCACAAGGATCAAAAAAAATACTGATATGGTTGGGGCTATTGCAGATACTTTGGTCTTTTCTGGAGGCTAGAACCTTTACTGTCCTGGGCAGGCTTCTAGTTCTTCAGCAAAGGAGGACAGTAAGTTCCCAGACAGTACAGGTACTTGTCATGGTTCAAGACTCGGGGATCCAGGCTGAGTCGCTGTCTCAGGACCCTCACCTCCCTTCACACAACAGCATGGTGGAGGCACCAGAGAGAGGCTGGGAGACAAAGGTGGCTTTCACCCAGAGCCAGCTGCGAGGGGATGGCTATGGCATGATCTGTAGCCCTGACGCAGGGTGCTGTCCTGTGACTCTGAGCTCAAAAATGTGTGAAATTTCTTTTTGCTGGGCATTTTACATCAAGCGGAACCTGTTCTCAGAGAAACATTCCATTTCACAGACCCTAATGGTTTTCCTCTGTGCCGATGCATTAATGAGGCTCTGGGTCATTCTAATCAGAAGGAAGCCATGCAGATAATTGCCTGAATTTTTAATTCAGGGTTATGATAGGAGAATCAAAGTCACACTGCAGTTGCTGAGGCTGTCTTTGGTTCCAGGCCATTGACTTTTGTAATTTTCTTTGATTTCCCCCTCCCTGTCTCTTTCTTTCTCCTACTCCCACTCCCACCTCTCTCTCTCTCTCTCTCTCTCTCTCTCTCTCTCTCTCTCTCTCTTTCTCTCTGCTCCTGGAGGCAGTTTCAAGTTGGGTGGCATAGAGGAAAAACAGGGGCAACCCTTAGGATCTTTCTTCCTCCTCTTTTTTTTTTTAATTCTTCCCTCCCCCACCACTGAAGGAGTTGATCTGTAATACACCTGTCACCCCAGGGCTGGTTCTGGGAGAGCGCCCTGCCACTGGCCTCCCGACTCAGGGTCTCCGTGCTCATAAGCAAAGACAGGAACTCTGCCCCAGGAGAGGACCTCCCTTGGCAATTTACTTTTCATTTCATCTCAGATTTTAGGGAAAGAGAGTGAGACTTAAGGGGGGAGGGGCAGGAGACCCGTGCTCAGAGAGTTCTCTCCGCCAAGACTGTGGGCTCTGGAGCTGGGGCGAGGGTGAGCAGGATGCTGGGGTCCATTCTGAACAAATTTACCTCCTGACATGACTACCACAGAGGGTTCGAACCTTAAAAGACTTTTCAGAACTCTGAGGAAGTACCCAAGACAGAACGAGGTGAAGGCAGATTGGTTGTCTTATATATGCCACCACTCTGCAAACATAAAACATCCAGAAGTGGTACAAATGGGGGCTCCCTGATATTGACCAGGTGACCCCACTGTCTGGGACCTGGGCCTGATACAGATTTTGCTGGGGAGGAGAGTCAGCCTTCTTGGCCCAGCTCCAAAAAGGCAGGCTGGCTCTTCCAGGACAATGGCTATTCCTGAAAAGGGGACTTCTTCTCCCAGGATCCCCTACAGCCACACTGCCAACAGATGTTTACCCTTGAAGCCAGTATCAGCAGAGTGAGCCTTTCCCTTGCAGCTGGGCTCTGAACCGACGGCCACGGCTGATGTGGCCTCTAGGTGCAGGTTATATCTGCACATCAGGCTCTATGACAGGCAGGAGTCTTACCTTTAAGAGACAGAGGTATTTGTACCCCGTGTGAGCATCTTCTAGCCTTCAAGGACTTCCCATGCCATCTGGTCATTAACTCAGACCTCACGATCTCTCCCCACCAGGAAGTGGGTAAATCAGCCGGAAGGAGACGTCTCCTACCACCTGCATCTTCCTTCCCAGGCGGGGAGTCTGCGTTTGCACATTTGCTTTAGCAGGATACAGAAATACCTTTTGAAAAGATTGCATCCCCAGGGTGTAGCAACACCACTGCCTACAGTTTTTCCCATTGCAAGATTGCAGAAATTATGAGGGGCAGTTACCTTTATTATCCCTACGGGGCTTTCGTTTCCTCAATCAAATGTGGCCTTGTGCTTGAATAACACCTGTGTCTGGAGAAGGCCAAAGCAGCTTCAGAGTATGCTGTCTTTGTTCAGATGTTAGGGACAAAGGGGAGAAGACTGCCCCTCATTTGAGGCCAAGGGACTTCACCCAGGTTCTGCTACTATCCAAGAGATATTTGCACACCTCTGTTGAAATTTTTATTATTGCCGCTGTTTTTCATTTTGCTTTGTTTGAGACAGCCTCTCACTGTGCCCCTGCCTGGCTTGGAACTCTGTAGACTAGGCTGGCCTTGGACTCACAGAGATCCACCTCCCTTTGCCTGGGTGCTAGGATGGAAAGAATGCTCCACCAATGTCCTGCTCTATTGGAATTTTAAAATAAAATCGGTTGTTTGTCTTGGTGGTGCACGTATGTAATCCCAGCACTCAAGAGGCTGAGGCAGGAGAAAAGAAGGTTTGAATGCTGGCTGGGCCACATAGTAAACCATTGCCTGAAAAAAAAAAATAAAGATGAAAACAAACTGGGGTGATATTTCACATCTGTAATTCCCAGCGCTTGGAAGGCTGGAACAGGTAGATTGCTATGAATTCTGAGCCAGCCAGGGTTACAGAGCCAGGCTTTGTCTCTGAAAGACCCTCAGAGAGGAACTTTTCCTCTAATGAAGTCCCCAGAACCAGGACACTCCGAGTAATACAAAAATTAAAATCAGTTAGTTTCCATTTCTTTTTTAAAAGGGGGACATTTTTAAAAACTCTTTTAGGCAGAGCTGGTGCTTCATTCAATCAGCAAATATTTAATCAACACTAATTATATTCCCCATTGTGCCAGGCACTGAGGCTGCTGAGAGGAAAGATGGAGTCCTGCGCTCCATGGGCTCCATTTAGTTGGGCAAATGGGTGGGTAAATCCTGATCCTATTGGATGAAGCCAGCGGCAGACCAAAGTAGAACTGTGAACATTGAAAGGACATCCTGCAATCTAGCTAACAAAACATTCTAAAAACTCCAGCAAAACTAAGTCGCAGCCAGCACCCTCATCCCTGTGCTCAGCGTGCCTCCATTCAGGGATGAGCAAGTCTGGTCTAAACTTTGCCCCCTTCCCCTCCAGAGCCATCTCTCTCCTGGCTCCCTAGAGACCCAGGCTGCTCCCCAGATCCTGTGCACTCCAGTCCTGTGAACCTGGAGTTAATTAATGATTAATGCCAGCGCCGGTGCCGTGGCTGGAGGCCGAAGCTTCCTTGGGGTGAACCAGGCAGCTCCGTCTTGGAAACTGCCCCGGTTCCTGGCTCAACTCCAGCCCGGCACAGGCCCGAGACAGAGCCAGCTCTCACACCCACAGGCAGTACCTTCTCAAAGCCGTCTGGAACCTCAACGACATGCAGTCTCTGGTCCTTCTGGAGCAAACCTAAGGCGCTGGGGTCCCCTGGGAAGGGGGAGTGGGGTGTGAAGCACAGAATCTTAGGACAGATTCCAGGTCTGGTACTAATTAGCTGGGTGGCTGTGGGGGCATTCTCCTTACCTCTTTGGGGCTTCAAACTCCTCATCCGTAACCAAAGAAGACTGCGACCAGATTGGGCCCTGTTCCGTGTCTTCGCATGAGCTGAGCTGTAGCCCTGGCCTGGGATGCTCTATTTTTTCCTGTTTTCTCACTCATCCTTCAGGGTACAGTTAAGGGGTCACCATCTTCAGAAAGCCATCCTTGGCCCTTGGCCCTTGGCCCATGCCCTTTCCCTTAGCTTCAGGGCTCTGCTCCCTTTTTCAATACTTAGCCCATATCACGTCCAGTTGCGCCTAGCTAGACTGAGCCTGAAGAAGTTGTTTAGCTCTTCTATCCCTGCATAGTGTCTGGTACTAAATGCGCTCAGAAATGTTAGGTTTCAACCATTGAGGATTGTCTCCATTAGTGGTACCCATTTTATTTTTTAGTTATCTTACGTGTATGAGTGCTTTGCCTGCGTGTCTGTCTGTGGGCCGTATTCATGCCTGGGTCTCAAGGAAGCCTGAAGAGGGTGTGGCTTGAGTTAAAGACCTTTGTGAGCCATCTTGTGGGAGCTGAGATTCAAACTTTGTCCTCCGAAAGAGCAGCCATTGCTCCTAAGCACTGAGCCACCTCTCCAACCTCTGTTTATCTTATCTTTCATCTTTACTTCTTTGGCCACGCCATGTCTCTCTTTCTACCTGAGCAAACGAATCCTATTTCCTTTATTTTCCTTTGGTTTGGAAACTCCACATTCCATTTCCTGTTTTGGTTTTCTAAGGTGGGAACCCTTGAAATATTAACTTAAATGTTTAACGCTAAAGTCGATATCTCCAGCTCTTTCCCCCCAAATATAAAAACCTTAGAATACTTTAGTTATCCCCAAGTCTCTGCCATGTCTTCGTTCTTCAGTTTCATCTTATTTTTATATCCAACAAAATTCTTGTATGAAATCATTCTATAGTCAATGTTATTTAAATTTAAATGTATGATTATATACTCATCTTATTTATTTTTGTTTGTGTTGCTTCTTTCGATGCCACTCCATATGGGCTCAGTTGTCTTCTTGAAGCACACTCTTTAATAATCCTCCCATTGAGGGATTATGACAGATATCTCTTCTTTGTCTGAAAAACACCATTATGTTGCTCTCACTCTTGACCAATGTCTTAGCTAGGCATGGATTTATACATTAATAACTGTTCTTCTAGTGCGCTTTAAAGATCACTCCCACTGCTTTCTAGCATCTTTGATAGTTGGTAAATCTGCTGTCGGTCTGACATTGCTGTATAAGAAACTTGTTTAGAGGTTGAGTGTGGTGAGCACACCCTTTATTCCAGCACTCAAGAAACAGGCAGGCTGATCTCTGTGGCTATAGGTCAGCCTGGTCTACAGAGAGAGTTCCAGGCCAGCCAAGGTTACACAGTGGGATCCTACCTCAAAAATCCTATATTGAAATTCTAGCCGAGTGGTGGAGGCCCACGCCGTTAATCAGCACTCAGGAGGCAGAGGCAGGTGGATCTCTGAGCCCAAGGCCTGCCTGGTCTACAGAGGGAGTTCCAGAACAACCAAAGCTACACAGAGGAACCCTGTCTTGAAAAATGTATGTATGTGTCTCAACATAGCACAAGCTAGTCTTGAGCTCAGGGCAATCCTCCTGTGTCAGTCTCCTATGTGCTGGGATTATAAACATGAACCATTAGTTTTTAGGGCTTTTGTTTTATCTCTGCTTCTGCTGCTTCATTGTGCTGTGTCCAACTATAAAGTTATTTTCTTTTCCCTGTCCATTTCTTTACCTGATTCTCTCACATCAAACACTTGGAAGCCAGAGTTTGTTTAACACTGTCACCTGGACGCTTTCTCTATGTTGTCTCTTGGAGCATCTATCAGAAGCATGCTGGACCTCCTCATTCTGCCCTTCCTGTCTCCTAACCTCCTTTTTCCAACGTCCTCCTCGTTAGTCACCCATGTTTCATCTGAGATGGCTTCTTCAGGGTCATACTTTATATCGCCAATTCTTGCAGTGGTGTTTCATCCTTTTTTAAGATAAAAATGTGTGTGTGCGTGTGTGTGTGTGTGTGTGTGTGCATGTGTGACTGTGTGTGTATGTGAGCTTGTGAGTGCAAAGGAGACCAGAAGGGGGCATCTGAAGGAGTCAGATGTGATTGTAAGTCACTCAGACATGGACAGAGCACAGGTCCTCTGCGAGATCAGCTCACCATCTTAACCATTGAGTCCCCCTCTAGGCCCAGCTCTTGTTTCTGAGGCAGGAGCTCATCAAGTTGCCTGGACCACTCTTGAGCTCACACTGTAGCTCAGGCAGGTCTTGAACTTTCAATCCTTCTGCTTCAACCTCTTCAGCTATTGGTAATTAAATACCTTCACCACCAGACACACTTTTTAAAAAATTCTTTTGTCGCACTCAGGAGGCAGAGGCAGACAGATCTCTGTGAGTTAGGGACCAACCTGGTCTACAAAAGCTAGTTCGGGGACAGGCTCCAAAGCTACAGAGAAACCCTGTCTCAAAAAACAAAAAACAAAAAATTGGTTTTTTACCAGACAGTAGTGATGCACGCCTTTAACCCCAGCACTCAGTGGCAGAGGCAGGTGGATCTCTGTTGAGTAAGATGGAGTTCCAAGGCAGCCTGGTTTACAGAGTAAATTCCATGCCAGCCTGGTCTACAGAGGGAGTTCCAGGACAGAGGAACCCTGACTTAAAAAGTAATTTTTTTTTTTTTGAGCTAGGTCTTATAACCCAGGTTGGCCTGTGTTGCATAACAGTTTCATTTGAGATGAACATTTCTTCCTGCAGGGAAACTCCAAAATGGGAAGGTAAACAACGCAAAATACCTCCAGGAAGTCCCTGAAAATGACCAGATCCCCTAGGCCCCTCCCTGTCTGAATTAGCAAGAAAAGTTTAGAGTCCCTTAGAGATTGAGGGAAAAGAGCCACCAAGCCAGCAAGACTCTCAAATGAGCTGATCTGCAAAGAAGACTCCCGGAGGAGACAAGCTGCCTGCAGGAGGTTTAGACAAGAGTCACCTGGAGAGGACCCCCTCCAGCCTGTTGAGCTGCCTGCAGGCTGTGCACTGTGTTCTAGGTTCCCAGCTCTCTGAGCTGTCACCCGTGCTGGGGTGGGTCTTGGTGATGCAACTGTCTCTAAGTCATTTCTGCTTCTATAAATAACCCCTCACCCTATTCTTGTAAGTACCCCCAATAAAACTCATTGTTTACCAAATTGGTTTTTGGTGGTGCCCATCCTGTAGTCTGTCGTGGGCTCCCTATCTGGAGTGTGTGTTGTATCTTCCTAAGAAAAGTTTGGTCAAGCAAAATCTCCCAGCTTCAACATCCTCAG